CGGAAGGGGGGTAGTCTCTCATTTTTTTTTTTTTTTTTTGCATAGCATATGCAATGGACCTTTGTTTGCAAACATTGTGATTGGTTCTAAATTTCAAAGAAACAACTCAATATATTTTATCAAGCTTCTTATGTTCAATAAGCGAGAGCTTACAACGTAGTCAACATAATGAGACATGATGCGTTTTTATGTCCAAACATTACTCCATACAATGTGTTGGTCATTGCAAACAATCAAGCTATTTACGTGAGGTGCCTGAAGGAAATCCTTTAACTGCCTATTTTTTTCTATCTAACTGCTAAACAAAATAGACATATGTACCAACTTTTCGAATGTAAGACATGTAATTGCAATTTGTTTTTCATGCACTGCATATTGTTTAACATTTTTAAATTAAATGCTAAGCATCTTCCTTACAGTGCCCCATTTCAAAATAACTTCTATCGCCACAGAAAAAAGACCCAATGTAAACACATATGTTTAGGGCATTTTTTAGCTTTTTTCTTGAGTTTTAAAGAAACCAACAAATTATCAAGACTTGTTCCACGAAAAATCAAATAAAATCATGGTAATAAACGCGTCTATCCACAGCAGATATATGCACATGCCAACCATGTGCTCAGAGTAGTAATATTAACTAGGAAACTCGAGCTGCGAACAGAACAGTTTTTCCCGATTTGCTGGAGTGGGGTTAAAATCGCGTTTTTCATTTATCAGACGTAGCGATGCAACAAATAAAAGGAGTAAGTAATATAACCTAATGATTATAGCTTAGTAATTTCTTGTATTGATGTTATTATGGTCGCATTTATTCTAAAATCAATGTTATTCGAACGCTGTGTGACAGAGGAATGGCGGACGAAATAAACACATGGCCTCAGGAAGACACACATATGAAAAATCAAATTTTCAAGAATTTTAGATAATGACAAGAAAAAAGCGAAACAAATGGTTGTAGCCATATTTTCAATGAATCAAACTAACACCATTTTCAATGCATTTTTCATCTCGTGAATGCTGTAGCTGCGCAGTTTTACCATGATTAATTTCCTACTAATTAAGACAAAATAAATTTAATTATTTACTAATTTTGGTCTCTAACAGTAGGTAACTAGTGCATTAACACTTTGAGTAACTTTGGGCTAGTTTAGACGAGTATTAAGCGCATTCTTGGCATTTCTTATTTCATACCAGACTAGATCCAATTGGCTTGTACATCCCCCTTAATATGTCAGTCCTATGGTCAGTCACAGTGGACTACCACTCAGGATAATAATAAGATAGGCAGACAATCAAAGCAGCTTCGGCTCTATTCGGGCCACTGAATTAATTGCCTACTTATCTTTCCTAACACTTAGAACTCTTTATTAAACCTTATACTTACAATCCAGCTTCTTCACCCCTGATCACTTTAACAAGAAAGACACAGATTCACTACATCCCGGGTTTATATACACATAGGGTGTTCTATTTGTAAGGGTTGTCAGGCCATTCCATTTCACCAGGAAAATATGGTCATCAAAACGTTTGATTCAATACAAAAATAACATTACACTTTAATCACTGTATACGTATGCATAGGTTTACTTACCTATGAAGGTTTTAAACAGACAGATCAACTACATGTACGTGAGGATTTTGAATGACAAATGTCACTTATTACATGCAAAAAAAATGTGTGCTTAAAGATGTATGAGCTTTAGATCTTTTGATCTACTCAAAAAGTCTTGGACCACACAATCATGAAAAATATGTGCCGCTGAGCTCCATGGATTGTATTCCTGCTGATTAAGTTAGTTGACGTATAAATTCTTGGAAGATGGAAGATTAACCAGGATGTGTTTAGGTGCCATGGAAAAGTGAGCATCTCCTGCTGATCGGTCACACCCACCGCATGCTCATTATAATGATCGTGCAATGACGAGAAAGTACGTCGTCAATTCAGTGTATAAATAATGGAGATAATAGTATATAAACTGTCTATGAAATTCAATTTTTAAAATATATTCAATAGAAAAATTGTACATTGTTATGAAAAATTTATAAATTTGTTTGATGTTTTTATTTTCACAATTCAAGATGGTCTTTTCTTTTCATACTTAAGAAGAAAACGCTTGGAAGACATCCCCTTTTCATAACAGCATATATAAACCTTAATAACAGTTTATATTAATTACGGTTTCCCTACACAGTATGCGTAAGTTATAAGTCACTGGTTTGGAAAAACAACATAGCAGCCCCTTCCTTTTCATTTCAGGATCGTTGTTGCTTATCGGAAGGAAATATGGCAAATATTTGTGAGCCCAGTGCTGATAATTTGCTGACGTTACGATGATTAATTAATTATTATAAAATAACACATCTATCTAATATTCATTTTATCTAAAATTAAAAAAAAGAAAACACCTAATATAATTTTACCTTGGTTTAAACTCATATGATTTCTTAATTAGCAAGACACTTCTTTATTCCCGGTCTGAAATTAATACTTTTCAAACACGATCGACATTACAAGACAATGAAAGCCTTCAAAAGCTTTCACTTAAATATAAAATGTGTTTTATGGGTGGAATGTGCGAGGGGTGTTCGAGAAGTTCGTGGACGGGTTTCGTACAGACCGCTGTATTCGTTTGTTTGAAATGAAACTTTCCATACTTTTATTATACCATATTTCCAGTAAAAATAAAAGTTTTTAAATTTTTGCTCCATTAAATAAAATTTTTTATAGTTTTAATTTCTTTAGCAAGGGGTCGAGAAGCATCCTCGATTTCTGCTTATTTGAATGTTTTAAGTCAATCTTGTCATTACAATTTTTTTGTTTAATTTTGCGCTCAAAAATTTACGATATTCTATATGAGGGCTCTTTGAAAAGTTCGTGGACGATCTCATTTTCTCCGAAGATATGTTGCAATTCGAAAAACCTTGTATATTACATTAAATGGTAATAAATTTTGAAATAATATGCAAATTTCAGTCAGTTTTACTTACGTTTGGAGTTTTATGAAGAGACTTACTTTTACAGTTGACGACTGACTTTTACAATTTAAACACATGCAAACTCCATATACTAAAATGTAAAAGTCAGCTGTCGAATGTAAAAGTGAGTCTCTTCATAAAACTCCATTATTAAAGTTATATCAATTTTTATCATACATTGTCAATGCCCGAGGAGCAACTATGGTGTAAATTTTATGACGTCGTAACGTCGTTATGTTTTATGAATAATCTGCCATAAAACAATAATCACTCTTTTTCAAAGTATACACCCCTGAGTTTGACACACTTTTGATGCTTTTCAACCCACTTTTAAAAGACATTTCTGCACCAACTTTCGTTAATATCCTTCAAAATGAAACAAGTTGCACATCGTAATTCTTCTAAGTCATTGAATTTCTGTCCCCTGAGCCTTGATTTCAAATATGGAAAGAGTGCAAATTCCATGGGCGCGAGGTCTGGGCTATGGTGGCAGAGGATAGTTTTTTTTTTTGCAATCAAAACGCTTGACTGACGGTTTACTTAATATTAAGCTGCTTTTAAAATGTGCATTGAAAAATTTTAAATTCCCTCTACAAGTAATAATAGTATGATGTAGTCCCTTGAGAAATTTGAAGCTTTTAGGAATAAAACATGTACAACTTACACAATGAGCCCTAAAGATGGCGCAGGGACAATCTCAAAATTTCATGTAAACCAAGCCTATTTTCACTATTTCTCCGCAGCCGCAACTGCTTCCAGGCCCGTGCTAATGACATAAGCTACCACACAAATTGCAGAATAACATTTGTACATACCAATGAACAGCAAGAGATAATGGCTCAACCACCTCTTTTTTAAGCTACAATTCATCCTATGAACTCACCCCGCATTTCTGGTGAAATACCAGTAGAGTGAGTTGTGAGCTTAGTTTCGTATTTCTAGTCCATATCCCATACACTGTAGTAGTGACAATAAAGTGTCATATTTCAATAAAATACACAAGGCCACCAATTCCCTCCAAATGCACCCATAAAATATTCTAGCCATAAAATTACCTACAATATGCACTCAAACCTCAGGTTTCTCTATTTTTTCTATTTTTTGACCGGTACTTTATTCGAAACTATCCTCTGCCACCTTTAAGGAGGGTGTTGTAAGAGATCAAATTCACGTAAAGCTAATTCCAGCCTAGTAGATTCCGATCCATGCGCAGGAACGTTGCTCTGATAAAAAAATAACAGAGCAGAAATCAGCAAAATTCGGACCTCAAACAGTCTGATAATTTTACATATAGAACAGTATTCGGCATATATCCATTACATAGATATATTCGCCTATAAGTCGGTCCGGCTATAAGTCGGTTTTATTAAATAAGCTTGTATATTAGATGAACTGAACTCATACAAAACCTTACATTTAATAGCTCGCCTATAAGTCGGACAAAGAGTTTTAGACCAAAGATTAACTCCCAAAAAACCGACTTATAGGCGAGAATATACAGTACGGTAAGATATTATTTCAGAATATTATTTACGCTAAACTTTAGAGAAATTTGTACCCCGCTATAAAGTGCTTGCGGGGAAATGGTAAAGTACATTGTAATATTTCTATGACGCAAGGATTCAATATATGTCGCATAGCAATTCTGTAAGTTGTAAAGAGTTAAAGGAAACGAAAATGGGGAGATTTAGGATTTTTTAAAGCTTACTTTTGTTGAATTGAATTGTATAACGTTAAATTGAAAAATTATATGACACCTCTAATGTTTCGGAGGTCCGTGTTTGTTCTGCTCATATTTTGCATAATATTATGGATTTTGATATTGAAAACTGTTCATTATCTCCATATTCTTCTTCCTTATATATTTTAACATTAAACTTTAATTCCTTGTCGTGACTTCAGCCTACCCTCGGGAACCATTAATTGAAACGTTTTTTTTAAAATCTACACTACATCAGGAAGCTTCTACATATAATGTTAAAGATTTTCTGTCCAAGTGGTGTATCTATGAGAAGATTTCCCAATAGACTCTATTCACGCACGCGCTAGAGTTCGTAGCGATAACGAGGCTGACCTGACAAAAAGCACATGTGCGAGCAGACGCTGAAAATGGACGGCCATGCGAAAACGGGCTCCGCGGCTTATTGTTGTGTGCCGCTTTGCAATGAAGACAGTCGTCGGGGTACAGCGACATCCTTCCACTCTTTTCCAAAGGATCCATCTGTACGGAAAGAGTGGATTATCAAAGTACGGCGAGACGAAGGCCCCGACTTCCATGTAAGTTTTTCACGTGACTTACACAAAGTTTATCGATTTTGTGGATATAAAAAAATCCCTCACTGAAACATCTTAAAAAAGTTACATATTTTTAATTTTGATGATATTTTCCTTTAATTTCATTGAGTTTTGACATACAGGACCCTTATAATTTATCACAGTGAGGCGATAGATTCCATAGCCTCACCAGTGTTGTTTACGACTAGCATGCTAACGGTGCGAGCGAGGTTTGAACGTTTCGTATCATCTCGCACTACATCTCTACACACTATTAAGTTAGATGATTAAATTTCGATATAACAACTTTTAATAAATTTTCTAGTCATATAAAATGTTTTTTGGATGATAAATATTTATATAAACGTTAAAATCCAAGCCCAGTTCCAACCAACAGGCAGCTTAATTAGTTCCCAAAAGAAAAACAACTCTCTTCATAACATCTGCTGCCTGTATAGTATTTACACTGTATCACGATACATGTTCAATATTTAAATCAATTGATCAAATCGATCGACCTATAATTTATAGGTCATATGGGCATCAACAAAAACAAAAAATAAAATGCCAGCCATAAACTGTTCTGAGAATATATACATGCAACACTTGTAATCAGGATGTCCAGTTCCTTTCTGTCAACTATGAACTACTTTTCATCAAATTTTGTCTATGAAAAATTCTTTTGTTTACAATATCCTGATTTGTTTTATGCACCAACTTGAATTTTTTTTTTCTCTCCAGCAACCCCTTGCATAGCCCCTTCACAATAAGTGTGGTACTACTCTTTTTCAGGGCAAAATGCTATATTTTGGTTAATAAAAGTAATTGTTTCTTTTTGTCATTTGATTATCTATCTGTATAAACAAAAACGCCATCAAACATAATTTACACATAAATTTGCCCTGCAAAAGAGTAGAACCACAATTATGGTGAAGGGGCCAATTGACTTAATAAGCCAAGGTAAGCAGTTAAAACCTTGTGCACCCTTTAATTAAATTAATATCTTCCTAACATTATATAGATGTTTTAAATGAAGAATAATAAATAGTGTACATACAGTGAGGCCTAAAATAAAATTAAGTTTGTTTGCAGTTGCCGACCGACCCACTGAAAATGCACCCGACCCAAACTTTTTTTAGCCATTTGGAAATTTGATTTTTTTTAAAAAAAAATTTCAGAATATTGAAACAGTTTCGTTTTCAAATTTTGACACTTTTTTATCATTCAGTAGTTTATAACAAGAGGTAAGCTTATGCATGTCTAGTAGGTGCATGAAAACCTCTTTTAATTGTTATCTAACAAAAATCTGATTTTTTTTTCCAAAAAAGAAAAAAAAAGAATGCCTACCTACCGACCCAGTCTAAAATTTATAGGTCAGCAACTGCAAAAACAGAATTTTTTAAGTTTGGCCTGATACTTTTTAATACATGTACATGTACACATAACTTTTGAATTGTCATTGAAACAATAACAATGCCGATTAGATGTTCTACAACTTGATTGATATTTTTCAGATATCAAAGTCCACATTTGTATGTTCCAAGCATTTCAAAGAAGATGATATTGTAAAAACATTGACAGGTACAAGGCTACAAGCAGCTTCAAAGTTTGAGTTCGTTTGCTGCTACTTTATTAAATTGTTGAGTAAAACAGGTTGGCACATGATCAATCTTCCATAAAGCCCTTCGGGCTTTATGAGATTTGAATACATGACCAACCCGTTTTACATCCCAATAAAACTCAAAAAATGATACCTTATTTCTTAAATAATGCACATAAGTGAGCATTGATCATTTAGATTTATAATAAATTTATATCGATAAATGTTCAATTCTAAATATATAAACTTTCTGAAAAATCAAGGTGATCGATATTTCTATTTAAAGTTCAAAAATCAAGTTGTAATTTGGAGTGAAGTGCAACAAACATGTAATATTTTAATTTGGAAATAGATAATTAAATATTTTATAATGGTTAAAATTAACATGTCTACACACCTTGTAGGACTAAGAAAATTGAAGAAAGGCACAGTACCGAGTATATTTCCATGGACTAAGAGTGCACCAAGCCGTAAACCACCCAAGAAGAGGGAAGGACCTCCCCAGTAAGAGTTTATGAGTCATGATACAATTTAATTTGCAGTATTAATTTTGCTTCTGATAAACAAGGAATGCGCTGCATTTGTATTATTTAAGCACTGAATTGTAAATTTTGATGTCCATCATGTCACAACATGGACAGCTGTGCTCACAAACTGAGTTACATGCATAAGCACATACATATCATGTGTTTGTACAGCTGGTCATGTTAGGGAATGATGGACATGAAAATGGACAGTTCGGTACTTATATTACCATTTAAATAATAAATACAGCTTGAATAATGCACACCATACCTGTGCAAGGCCATAGTAAATAAAAACCTAGATTCTCATCCTCGTGACAAATTAAAAAAAAATGTTTTCTAAGTCTTAATTAATTCAGATCGGGATCGGTAATCAACTAGTATTCAACTTTCGTTCTGTGTCCCCCATATGTCAGTGTGATTTTCATGGCTGTTGTCTTGAGATCATTAAACAGGATCATCAATAGTTGTGAAAGACTCCTGATGCGAGATGATGTATAGTAAGAGATAAACATATTTAAAATTGACTCTATTATAACTATTTATGACTTTTAGATGTATAACAAAGATATATATCTGACAACAGATATAACGCTTAAATCTGCACCATTTGATAAGGTCAAAAATATCTGTGTAATGGAAAAAGCAAAAAAAAACTTGTTATGAAATCCACCACCTGCCTCAATTTCAAAAAAAAAATGAGAATCAAGTCTTTTTATTTATTAAATCCTGATCATAGGTTATTGGCTGATTATTGTGCCATTGTAATAGCTCACCTGAGCAGACGGAAAGCTCAAGTGAGATTTTCTGATCAAATTCACAGGCCTTTCGATCACTTAAAACAATTATGTGTGTAAAAAAAATAAAGGTATTGAACTCTTACACTGGGTACCCTATTTCTTTTTTTTATTCAAATGCTCTAAAATTCTACTTTCTATTCAAATCTATTCATAGATAAACATTCTTCATTTGTACCAAAGCTCACTCTGAAATTCCATATACGGTACATTTCGAGATATTCTGAAATCAATTTCAAAAATGACCTACTTTCTTTTACTTGACATTAGCTTGGGCCCCTGGTCATTCACATGTAAACAGATGATGTTTAAAGTGCAGCGAAGAGTTGCAAAGTATTTGCTTAATTTTTCAACAATTCAAAGTTGATTTATTACTCCAGATTGTATGCTTAAGTCGGTAGTAATTCCTTTTGCGAAAAATTAATTTGAAAACATTTGCATCAACAACTGCACAGCCATGTTGATTAAGAATGTAAATGAAGCCATGGTAGAACAAATATTTTCCGGAATGCATTGTATACCTTTCAATTTTCAAAACATTTAGACCGCTAAAATGTTTTAGCTCACCTGAGCCGAAAGGCTCAAGTGAGCTTTTCTGATCACATTTTGTCCGGCGTCCGTCTGTCTGTCTGTAAACTTTTCACATTTTCGACTTCTTCTCAAGAACCGCTGGGCCAATTTCAACCAAACTTGCCACAAGGTATCCTTGGGTAAAGGGGATTCAAGTTTGTTCAAATGAAGGGCCATGCCCTCATTCAAGGGGAATTAATGAAAATTTGGTGGCATGATTTAAAAATCTTCTTCTCAAGAACCACTGTGCCAGGAAAGATGAAACTTATAGAGAAACATCCTCAGGTAGTGTAAATTTAAGTTTGTTCAAATCATGACCCCCAGGGGTAGGGCGGGGCCAAAATGGCCGACCAAAGTTTTACATAGAAATGTAAAGAAAATTCTTTAAAAATCTTCTTCTCAAGAATAGCAAAGCCATTATTGGTCTTGGGACTAGTTTTGGATTTAAGCAAGTTTAAACCAATTTTGTCTTTTCCTAGCCACAGTGCTCAGGTGAGCGATGTGGCCCATGGGCCTTTTGTTGTGACTTAATAATATCATATGATCAAATTAGAGAAAACCTTGTAAAGCTCGAATGCAAATGAACAAATATTTATTGAGTTTAGAATAAATTCTGGGAAACATTTGTCCCATCGTTCCCAATTTACAATTAGTGTAGCTCTTGTAAGGCCCAAGCTAATGTCGAGTTAAAACAAGATGTGTTTGTGAAACACTGTGTGCCCGGCGGCAACAAATTTCGAAAAATCTATTTGGAAGTGGATTGATTTCAGAATATCTCGAGAAGTATAAGGAATTACAGGATGAACTTTGGTAGTAATGAAGATTGTTTATATTTGAATTGATATGGAAAGAAAGTAAAATTGTTAAGCATTTGATTTAAAAGAATTTTATTTGCGAAAGAAGGTACCCTACGAAAAAGAGTTTCATACCTTTATTTTTTTTCCAACACCTTAATTTTTTTTCTAAAGGCCTGTGATCAAATTTGTCTATTATCTGTCATTGGTGTTTGTTGTCATTACAAATAATATTCACGTTTTCTCTCATTGAGCTAGTTTCAACCAAACTTGGCACATGCATGTACAATCCTTGGGTGAGGGAAAACCCAAGTTTTTTACTTCCAAGGGGAGAAAATTAAGAAATAGTCAATGAAAATTGTGGGATCCTTTAAAAATCTTCTCAAAAAAACAGGAGCCACAAAAAATGAAACTTGCATGAAACCTTATTGATATAAAGTACTATAGATTCAAGTTTTACTTAATTAATGAGAATGCATAGAAAAAAAAATAAAATCTGTAAATTTAAAGATATATATATATATAACATTTACATATTTAAACATGTATTTTGCATGTAAAATGTGTGCAAATTTAAGGCATTTAAAACACCATTACAGGGACATTTAACGTAGCTACGGATAGCGATCACGTGACATTGCATGTGAATTCTAAATTAAGAATTTTTCGGTTGGCTTATTCCGGAAATGCGCATAGTTCAATATGGCGGACTGCAAGTTGTAAACAACGTGCTCCGAGAAAAGTACAAGAGAAACGTTATAGGAACGCTCAGCTGTAAAGGTAGATCAAGTAAATTAGAGCGAATGAGAGAATACACATCTTAAGAAACAGAAAACTATAAAACCTTTTTATGAACTAAAATGTCTGTGTATCGCAAACGACCGACTAGCACCCCCTATTCCAAAGCAGACGACGCTGCTGGTTTGAATCTCAATCATGATATGACATGGATGAAATCGAAAGAGGGACGAAGATTTGCTGAGATGAGGAACTTGACAAATCAGTTTATATGCTCTCAGTCACAGTGATATCGTTTGTATCTTTTCCAAAAACTTTGAAAGCGATGGTGACTAAGTACTTTATTGTATCAATACATTAGGCCTACATGTAAATGGGTCTGATAGTACTGTATTATTTATGGATTTATCGACACTTTCCACGGGAAATCCTGGCCCCGAAAGTAATACGATGGAGAGGCTTATGATCACTGTTGATATCAACTCAAAAGTAGCTCTTGGTAAGTCATATCTTTAGATATTTACATGACATACTTTCATGATAATAGGCCTATTTTAATTCAGCATTAAACTTCATCCTTATGAGTATTAGTAAATTCAGAGAATGTAATTAAGGGACTGTCATTCATTTGATGGGGGTGGGAGGGAGGGGCAAATTTCATGGGTGCCAGATTATGTATTTACAGTGAAGGACAGATAATTTATTTTTATTTCCAAGATCACTGGGGGCCTAATTCTTGTCGGATTGTACCTAGGATATATTTCTATTCAAAAAATTCGACATTTTATAATCATTTAGGGTATTTTGATTCACCTTTACAGTATTTACATTTTGACTTTAAAAAATAATTTTGGGATAAAACATGTTTGAAAAGTAAATTAATTTATCAATAATCAGGTAAATTTTGTGTATATTATAATTATTTTTGTTGCTCTGAGTGAGTGTTTCAGTTTGGTAAAATTTACAGTAGCCCTGCAGGGCAAGTTTAAAGGCATGTTTAGTAGTCCAAACTCAATATTCAGTTGTCGCGGGCCAGCGGACTACCCTTAGTGTTGAACCCTGGACAGATTATTTTTGTTTTTCTTCACTGGTAAAAACTGTGTCAGTGTGGTAAACATTGAAACTGTTTACATGTTGTTTGCTGGTCAGATGAAATTGACAAATCTTTATATTACTGCTGCTGTATAGTTAGAATATTGGCCAGACAGTGGGGCATTTTAATTTAATGTTAGATTTACTGGTTAAAAAGTGATTTGCCAATCAACTAATATAATGAAATTTTGGTTTTGCTGGTATACATGTATATTTATTTGATCTATTTTTTTTTTCAGCCATCAAGATGGTACTTTCTGGTAGAGGACCACCAACCCATAGCAGACCAGGGGATCTTGATGTCAGCATAATAGTGATTATGGTTAAGTCATTTAAATTTTGCTTAGTATGATAAATTTAATATTAAGTGTAGAAAATTGGCAATTTACATGTATGAGGTGTAAATTTTTGCAAGTTATATATACATGTATGTAATATGTAATGGTTTGGGCCATGGATATATATCGTCCAGGGTAGCTCAGTCTGTATAGCACATGACTAGTGATGCAGGGGTCTCAGGTTTGATTCCCGGTCCATCCATACATTTTCTCTTTTCCTGTTACATATATATGTTTTTTTTCACCGAAATTCTATATATAAGATATAGACATTGTGAGAAATATATTTTGATGTTGACTGCAGATAATATTGTATTTGTTAAATTTTATAAATTACAGATAGATTCATCAGTACAGAGTACAAGGTATATGAATATGAAGTTTAGACCATTCATGCTGATGATGATTCAACTACTGCAGCTCGACGGAAGAATGATTTTCCACCCCTTCCAACAAAGAGCAGGACAAGAATCGCTTGTTGAAAATAAACTAACATAGTCAATAGACTACTTTTCTTTGTCAGCTTTATATTACTGGGTACATGTATCTCTTGATTGAGTGTTACATTTAAAGTGGAAACTAATCACTCCACATATAGATTTTTTTTCCATTTTTCATATTTAATCTACCCTGTTTTATGTCTGGTGTGGTAATA